TTCTTTCTTTCTTTTTTTTTTTCTTCTTTCTATTGGCGTTGGGCTGGCTTGCTTTGGATGGTCCAGGTACCTTAAAACGAGACGAGACACGAGACATGGAGGATAGACACACGACGCATGGAACTGAACTCTTCTCTCTTTTTCTTTCCTGTGTGTTTCACTATGATGATTTGTCCCTTTTTCTTCTTTTTATCTCGAGCCTTCTAATTCCCTGTACTCTTACTCCAGCTGTTCTGTACATATTCAATATCTCCACGGTTTACGATCGCATTATGATTCTTCTCTCCTACTTTACTCAATAGAACAAAAGAGTCAATGGTATCGGTCCGTAGACCTTGAACTTGGCAATTCCATTCTCATACTTGTACAGACAAAAAGGAACAAGAAACAGTCTGAGCTTGAGCTGGTGGTTATCATACTTTCAATCACAGTCGATCAGCCACATCCAGGAAAATTCGAAAAAAGAGTAAAAAAGAAAAAAGAACAGACGCCGTCGTACGCCGGTTCATAGTCCCAGCATTTCAAATGCATTCCAAGCGCCTCATATGAACCGAGAGGGAAAAATGCAGACCACTGAATGAGAAAAGTTAGATACATTAGGCAGCAATGCGACTGTACGATCGTAAGCACTGTAGAAGCTTCAATGGGGTAAATGAGCATGGCCATCTATGCGGGGTCAGAACGTTCGTTAAACAGGATACATGCAGTCATCGCTCAACGACGGTTCTTGGGCTGAGCGAGCATGTTCAGGCGACTGATGCTGAGAACACCGCGGCTCTTCGCTCTGGCGCTGGCGGGTGTACCCGTACGGCTGGAGATCGAGGAAGTGCGGACAGGGGTGTGAGTACGGGCCTTGGTAGGGCTGAGGGCGGCAGGAGCCTTTACGGGAGATGGAGCGCTGAACTTGAGTCTCTTAGCGCTGCGAGCATCTGAAGTGGAATCGGCAGGAGGCACATTTTCGGCGTCCACTTCGTCATCAGTCGCCTCGCGGTGTCTCTTCTTGTTACCAATGCCATGGGGCACACCAGCAATGTCAGGTAAGGTGGCTGACTTCTTATTGCCAATTCCGTGCAGCACACCAGCAACATCGGGAAGAGCGGCCAACTGAGCGTTGACACTCGATGGGCGGACATGACGGATGGTTGGAGTGCCATCCTGAGTGGATTTGATAGCAGCGGCAGAGGTCTTCTCCGGTGTCAGGACGGGCAATGTGGGATACACAACGTCCGACGAGGTACCGGAAACAGACACGGTGATCTTGGACGGAGAAGGAGATGGCAGGTCTAGCTCGCTGTCGACTTTAGCGGCTGGAGACTTAGTGGTGGGAGTAAACACTACCCGCTTCTTGGGTGAAGGCGTCGGAGCGGGCTCTTCGGACACCGAAGGCTCACGAGAGGCCCCGGGAAGGAAGTTGGAGGTGAAGTCTGGAGCGGCCACATGAGTGCCTGCAGCGATCTTCGTGGGGTCTCGGGAGAATAAGGGCTGATGGCGGCGAAGAATGGATTTGAGACCACCCAGTGTGGGCAGGTTGCTCTTGATACGCGGATTGAAATCGGTCTGGGGCGTGCGTGGGATGGCAGCAGGCTTCGAGACCGGAGAGCGTGCCAGCGAAGGGATCATGCTGGTCCGAGGTGGTTTGAGGCTGACGGACGAGGTGCGTGCAGCAAAGGATCGTGTGGGAGTCATCAAGGAACTGCGAACAGCAGATCTAGGACGCGGAACAGCCGACTTGGGAGTCTTGTCTGCCTCGGTGGTCGGGCGCCAAGTCGAAACATCGTCAGTCTTGTCATGCTTGACACGTTTCGCACCGGGCGCGGCTGGGGCAGGAGAAGGCTTCGCGGTCGACTTGGGAGGCGACTGACGGCTAGACTCAGCTTCATCAAAGCCCGCTTTCGAGTTTGTCCGCTTGAGTGTCGTCCCAACTGGCTGGAACCGGCCTGGTGCGGCTCGGAACGCGGAGGGATGGTTGGCGATGGAGTCCATCTTCTTGAACTCCGCCATGTGAGCGCTGCTAAAGCGGCCGGCCTTGCCCTTGGGCTGTGCAATGCGGCGGATTCTATCGTTTAGCCCTTCAGCGCCACGGTCCGCAGCATCTTGCTTATCTTTTTCCAGAACCATTTGGGCCTTGATCTTGGCGACATCCTCACGGACGCTCTCCATGAGTTTCTTTGCCTCTTCGCTGAGCTGAGACTCTTGGCAGGCGAATCTGAACTCGAAACCGGGAGTGCCGTACTGGCTCAAGGGGGAGGCCTTGGCTTTGCTGGGAGTATCGTGGGCCACGGCTTCCCTCACCACGTTTCCGTTCGCATCTTTCTTGACAGGGTTGAAACCCAGGATCAGACCTGAGTCCACTTGCTTCGTGGTACTCTGGTGAACCTTACTCGGATGCATCTCGTCATGGGATGGACGGGTTATGGCACTAGTTGGGGTTTTGGCACCGATCGATTTCTTCGCACTTGAGGGGACGGGCGTTCTGACACTGGATGACTTGATTGGAGTCTGAATGGATTTGGTGGGCGTTTTGGTGGTGGTATGAGATTCGACATCACGCGCTTCGTCGCGTTCCATCACAGCGGGAAGCTTCTTCCTCTTCTTGCTCCTGTCTTTGTTTGTGGTATTGTTGTCGAGATCTTCGGTGGTGTTGACATTGATTGTCTCAGACTGAGATTGCGGTTCCTACAGTGAGAAGCGAGGGTTGTCAGTACTATTGATATGTAAGGGCACACCAGCTTCAAAGACCGCTGGTGGAAGTTTTTGATAGCTTCAGGCGCGTCGCAATTGCCAAGAGGGAATCCCACCTCGGATGACGCCTTTTGGTCTCTGAGGCGGGCGGAACGGCGAACCGCCATGATTGTGGATAGGGAGGTAGATCCGACAACAGGAATCCGAGATGGATACAATGGCTAAAAGAATGACAATGGGACTAAAAGGGAAGAAAGGAGGATATTGAGGAAAGGGATGGATAGCTGAGAGCGCAAGGGAGTTGAAGCTATTCTGGAAGCGAAGTGTAAACAAAACAACAAAACGCAGGCGGTGAGCCTTTTTGACGTCAGTTGCTTCGTCCCACTCGATCACTCCATCACTCCATCACATCACCAGCATTGCCATTTGCCACCATTCTTCACCTCTCTAGTCCATCATGGGCTGACATGATGCAAGAGTCAGTCGATCATAATCTGTACTTGCAAATATTGTTCTCTTTTGACTCTAATAATTCGATCTGTGAGACCACTAATAACAGAACTAACCGACAATCTAGATACACGTCTATACTCCAAACGGATAGGTCTCGTCCTGTCCCAAAGGAGTCTTTGGTTGCACCTTCTCCAGTGGTTTGACAGCTTCACTTTGGTCGAACCAGATATACGCGTCGAATTGGTTGTGGAGGTACGCCTGCGAGTAGTGCGAGATGCGCTCCGTGTCCGGACGATAGATGACCCCAATGAAACGCTCCAGGCGGTTACTTTCAGCAGCCATAGCCCTACGCAAAGCAGGATCGATGCGGTCCGGGCGCAAGTCAATCACAAAGCTCGGGATCCCCGTATCGTGGGCGATGATCTCCCAGCTATCATCACGAGACGGCCGCACCTTCATAACCTCCATATCCTCGTCCCATTCGTGGGCGGCGGCCACAGTGCCTGTGTGCGTGCCGCATCCGAGGATTGCGACATGCTCGCGGCTATAATTTTCACGGATCAGCTGGCCGATATTGACCTCGTTGCGGCGCGTGCCCATGCTGGTGTAGCGCGCGTCGCCGCAGTGAGAGTTGTGCGCCCAGACGATGGCCTTGGCGTCTGCGGGCTTGTGCCGGAACAGCCGTCGCAGAGTATCAAACATGTGCGTGTCGCGCAGTGTCCACGAGGAGGCCGAACTGTAGTACATGGCCTTATAGTACCGCTCCGCGTCGCGGACGAGAAACGCGTTCTGCTCGCCGCTGTGGAACTCCTCCCCGTCACGCACATCGTGCTGTGCGTATTGCAGCCGCTTCTCCAGCAGGTCGTGCAACATCTGCAGCACCTTACTCTCGCAGTCCTCCATCCCCCGGAGCGAGGCCAGGCCGTACGCGGTCGGCTCGTCCACCCAGGGCTGGAGGCAGCCGTACCGGCGGCGAGCCTCTTTGCCCGCGGCTGGATCCACCCGGTCCAAGTAATCGATGACGGCGCGGATCGACGCGCCCATGCTGTATAGATCCAAACCGTAGAACCCGGCCTTCTTCTCTTCGGGCAGCTTGGAATTGTGGTCGCGCATCCACTCGACGAGATCCTGCATCTCGCGGTTGCGCCACATCCAGGTGGGAAACCGCTTGAAGGGCTCGTAGTCGCGGGCCTTGCCGCCAACGCCCGCCTTGGGGCCGGGACGCTGGCGGACGTAGCGATCGATGGCTTCGGCGTCGGGCCAGTCCGCCTCGACGGCCACCATCGTGTAGCCATGCTGCTCGATGAGCCGCTTGGTTATCTCCGCGCGGGCGGCGTAGAATTCCGACGTGCCATGGCTGCCGTCGCCTAGTAGGACGACCTTGTAACTTCCGAAGCTATCAAAATGCGAGCCGAAGCTGGGGTCCGCGATGGGGGGCAGCGGGCGGGCCGCTTGGTTGAAAAGTTGCTGGAGTTGCGCCATGGGCCGAGAGCGAGTAAAGAATCGTTGAACAGACTGCATTAATCAGGTCATGGTCATGGTCGACGGCACGGAGTGAGATACGCACCGCGACTACTAAATACTCATACACAGTGGGAGTGGTGGCCAGCGGCGAATGAAATCACATCACATCCTCGTCAACCTCCTATCATCATGACTTCACCCCCAGCACATGAACAACGAACCTCAACAACGCATGGTTAAACTGTGTAACCCGGAAGCTAGAATGAAATATAAATCTCTCGCAATAAGCTATGAATACTCTCCGCAGATCCTTCCCCAGATTCAGAGCCCTATCAGCTAGAGTACTCCCCAAAGCACAAGTATCCCAACCTCACCACCAGACCAAAGCCCGCACCATCACAATGGCCACACCCATAAACAGCCCCTCCCCGCGCCTCGACCGCTTCCAACAAGCCCTCGAATCCCTCTACGGCAGCTTCTCCTCCATCCCCGACCCCTCGTCCTGGACCCCGCCCCCAAACTCCGGCGGCCACCGCGGCCGGTACCTCTGGACCGACGCCTTCGGCGTCGTCACCCTGATCACAATGCACAAAGAATACGAGAAGTCGCTGGCGAGCGCCGCCCAAGCCCCAGACGACCGGTACCTGGTGCTCGCGCGGCGCGTCGTGGAGACCGTGCACGGGGTCCTGGGCCGCACGCGCGACGGCAAGGCGCGGCTGCCCGGCGCGACGGAGGCGAACCCGCTGGGCGGCGGGCTGCGGATCGGGAAGATGGACGAGCGCGGCCCGGACGCCGACGGCCAGTACCACCACTACCTGACGGTGTGGATGTTTGCGCTGAACCGGCTGTCGCTGGCGACGGGGGACCCGGCGTACAATGCGCAGGCGGTGGCGCTGGCCAAGGCGATCCACCCGCGGTTCTTTGTGAATCGCGAGTCGGCGCGGCCGCGCATGGTCTGGAAGATGGCGATGGATCTGTCGGCGCCGCTGGTGGCCAGCGAGGGGAATCTGGACCCGATCGATGGGTATGTGGTGTTCCGGCTGCTGCAGGGGGCGGCGATGCAGGCGGGGGGAGGGCCGGTGCTGGCCGAGGAGATTGCGGACTACAAGCGGGTGATGGAGCGGAAGGGGCAGCATTTTGTGTCGAGTGATCCGTTGGACCTGGGGATGACGCTGTGGACGGCGCATTGGTTCGCGGAGGAGGAGGATTGGGCGGCGCGGTTGGCGGGGCGGTGCTTTGAGCAGATTTGTATTCTCTGCTCGTTTTTTTCTCTGCGTCGTTGTTTGGAGGATGGAAAGCTGATCATGGGCACAGACGATCTGTTTGAGATCAACCGCTACCTCGAACGCAATATCAAGTACCGGCTGGCGTTTCGCGAGTTCGGTACGTGTATGGGCATCCAGTGCCAGGCGGAACAGACCACCGAGAAGGATCGCTCGGTCGACCTCAAGGTGTACGCCGATGCCATCATCGCGGCCTGGGATCCGTACATGGAGCTGTCTCTATCGACAGAGGTGACGCCGGATGATCTGCGGCCCATCACTCGGATCATGTATGCGGCGGCATTGATTCCTGGAGGTGAGCACCAAACAGCCAGAAACGAACATGGGGAAACTGACACTAGATGCAGCCTTTCGCAGCGGGTATCTGGGTCCTGAGCCGGAGTGTCCAGAAAAGTAGGTGAGGCAAAACGGGTGATGTACACGGTTGCATTCAGAGTATATATGCCGATGCACAGAATGAACTGAAAGCATGTCCCTACTCGTACACAAAAGTCTAGCATGCATACGTCTCGTCGTTCCTATATCCCAGGGATCCCTACGATATCCCTCCAGGACGGCACACTCAACGGCAAGATATAAATAACGTAGACCGTCCCAAGAGCAATCAGCAGCCCAGACCACTACACCATTAGCAACGCGAGACCTCTCTTCCCGGATAAGAACACATACCTTTTCCAACCACGTGTGGAACCAAATCGAAGTCATGAACAGCATCCACCATCCCAAACCCACGACAGCCCCAACCAAACGTAAAGACCAAGTCCGCATCCAATCCCCCTCCTCCTCACTCTGACCCTGCACTTTCCCACCTTCACTCTGATCAGAAACCTCCCCATCCATCTTCTTACCCCCCTCCACCCCGGCAGAAACAGCCTTCATCGCTCCAACAGCCTCAAAAACCAGCATCGACGTCGCAAGCACAAGCATAAACACATGCCCACTCACATCATGGCCCCCCATCCACGCCCCCCCAGCCGCCTTACAAGCCGCCGCCGTAAACAGCTTCTCCACTCCCGCAGAAACAGACTCCTCCTGCGCAACAGCCGCCGCCGGACTGCCCGACGTCTCTGCCATAACGCGCTCGCATTTCCCGCCCGTGATCACAAAACTGCGATCGATTATCGGGGGGCCAAAGAACCATTGTGTCGTGAGGTACCAGACCAGCGTGGCCAGGGTGTATCGGAGGGCGGCCTGGGCGAGTCGGCGCGGTTGGTGCGCGGAAGGGGCGGTGTAGGCGGGTTGGGAGACGAGCAGGGAGACAAAGGCGAGCGTGGTCCAGAGCCAGCCGACCTTGACGAAGTAGAGATTGAAGATGTTGTCCTTGCGAGCGAAGTAGTTGACCGGGTTGGGGGGGGAAAGGTTCACGTCGGAGGCGATGGAGGGGGCCAGTGGAGCGGGACGCCTGTGAGCGCTTTGCCTGGAGCCTTGGGCCGTGGGAGAAAGGACGGAAAAGAGCGATCCCACAAGTAATGTCACTGGATAGATAAGAAGAGCCGTCGTTGGAGGCCGCATTGTGGTGGCAGATGCAATTGAAGGGGGTGGTCGCTCTGGTGAGGCCATCCTGCCGGTCTATGTGTCTTTCGGTCTAAAATCTGCTTTTTTTGTACAGGATGGAACTGGGACTTGAAGACAGAAAGTGTAATGTTATACAATTGACGACGAAGACGACATGTATATGCAGTGTGGATGAAGAAGATTCAAGCTGGGATGAAAATCGGATGACGTCGGTGAGTGTGAGTGTCCGGCGAAGTCTTGGCAACAAGCGGACCATCTTATGTCAAGGGTCTACCTCTGGCATAGAACCTAGGTAGAGAAGAATCAACCTTCTCACTCTGTCATTATGCTAGCCTAGCTATCTAAGCAGAATTCAAATAGTCATCTAATCTACACGTAGCCTAAGGCCTCAATCAAATATAGAATAGTTGATGTTTGATCACATGATGGTTGAATTACCTAATCAGGATTCTGTTAACTGCGAAAGGTCCTATTAAAGAAACCACCAAGCCTCTCATGGCTCTATTCCAGCAGCAGACTGTTGGGAGGCTATGGAAGTTTACAACCTGCTAGAGACAAAGTAGGGAACGTTCTTCGACTCGTACAAATCCTTGTACTCGGATTTGATGATGTCCGCGCACTAGCACATGCGTTAGCTTTCTTGTGGAATTCAACACAGTTGGCTGTGCTGCTACTCACCTTCTCGCCAATCATGTAGACCGAGTTCTGAATCCGGCAGTCCGGAATCACAGGGATAACGGAAGCATCCGCAACCCTCAGGTTGCGCACCCCGTGTACCCGCAGCTTCGAGTCAACGACACCTTGATGGATGCTTTTCGAGAGACGTGCCGTACCGCAGGGGTCTATATCACCCATTAGTGTCATGGTAAGGATCGGGGGATGCAAAAGCAGGAACTTACGGAATCCAGTCTGGCTTCGTTCCAGAATCGCCCGGTCCATGTCGTCGTCGGAATGCAGAGGCATCTTCCACGGGTACTCGCCGACAACGATGTCCTTGAACCCAGCGCCGGTGGTCAGAACATCGTATGTCCAGCGCACGCCCTCGCGCATGGCCAGGATATCCAAGTCGCGACCGAAGAAGTTGAGGTTGATGTGCGGCTGGACCAGGGGGTTGGCGCTGTTCAGCGTCACCTCGCCCTCGGACAGGGGCCGGAGAAGATCGACAATGACGGTCATGTAGCTGCCCTGGTCGGGCATGGGGAAGTGCCACTGGAAGGCCGTACTGAACAGACCGACGAAATCAAGCTCGAAGTGGGGCTGGCCCGCCGGGCCGAAGGGATCCAGGCCGCCATTCGCAGCCTTGGCCTCGCGGTAGACGGGATACTTCTCCAGTCGCTCGTCGATGCGGGGGAATCCGACCAGCTCAAGGAAGCCGGAGCTGGCCGGGCCCGTCTTGTCCCGCTTGTAAGCAGCCAGCGCGTTGTCGTAGAGAGGACCGGGCCGGAGGACGTGGTCGTCAAGACTGTATCCCTCCTTGAGCTGGAGCACAAAAGGCACAATGGGGTGGTCCAGGAGATGCTGGCCGACATGGGGCGAGTCGACAATGGGGCTGATTTGATGCTTGGCGAGTTCCGCGGCCGGGCCGATGCCGCTCAGCATGAGCAGCTTGGGCGTCTCAAATACGCCCTGCGACACAATCACTTCGCGGCTGGCATAGACGCTGATCTCGGTGGTGTTGGACGCTTCGCTGATCACGGTGACGCCGGAGCAGACGCGTGTTGCGGGATCGATGATCAGCTGCTTCGACCGAACGCCGTAGAGAATGGTCACGTTGGGCTTGTCCTTCAGGTACAGGAAGCTCCCTTGGCGCACGCCGCGGTGGATGGTGTCCACGCAGTGCGTGAGGCCCTTCATTTCGCCGGAAAAGATGTCCTCAGTGAGAGGCTGGCCCTTGGAGACCCACGCTTGAGTAAGCGCGTCGCGGAAGGGCTGCATCTCCGGCACCAGGTCGGCATGGGAGATCTGCACCGGGCCCCCGGTTCCGATCTTGCTCAGTTCGGCCGGATACCGCTTCTCCTCGTCGTGATAGGTGGCGCACTTGCGCAGGTATTCCACACAGTTGTCCCAGTTCCAGTCTCGGCCGCCAAAGGCCTCCCACTCGTCAAAGGTGGGCTTCGAACCGGGGATCCAGGTGAAATAGTTGGCACATGTGCTGCCGCCGAGAGCCTTGCCACGGGTGTTGGGCTTCTCAACACGCTCGTAGTCTTCGCGCTTGATCATCGTCGTCTTGTAGGCCCAGTCATACTTGCTTCCACGCAGGGTAAAGGCCTTTGACGGCGTGGTGATTTGCTCGATCTGGTCTGGATTGGGGATGCCAGCCTCGACAACCAGAACACGGACGTCGGGGTTTTCGGCCAGACGACCAGCAACGGCATTGCCGGCCGTGCCACCACCGACGACGATGAAGTCGTACTCAGAGCCGTTGGAAACAGTTGCCATGATCGGGTAAAGGAGGAGTTAAAAATGTGCTTTGATCAATGTGTAGGAGACTTGATGTGTGTTGTTTGAATATCGAGCAGAAACTGACCAGGCAAACGGTCGATTATATATATACCTTTGTTTCTCCATTGCTGCCGTCTTTCCGCGCATGAGTCTGACGAGATGAAGCCCCTCGCATTGGTCATACTAACTAACTGGAAATGCCGCAGTGTCGGTACACATCATAAACGGAGCATCAGAGATTTTTTTGCTGTCACTGTGGTTGATGGTAGGTTTCAGCTGGAACAGCTGTGGCAGTGACATTTGACCCCTCATGAGGGGAAGGTATGCTATGCTAATTATTATGATATGATGATAATCCTCCCAGTCACTTCAGCATGCATGGTGATTGCCTGCACAAATCTGCAAGCTATGCTAATGCTTATGACATGAGTTACTTCAGCACGCATAGGAAGTTTGCTGCCTGCTCTAATTTATAAGTCATATATACTCATGATTATGACAGTATCACTCACCTAGATGTGCATATGAGGATTAACATGTAAGCTGTGCTAACTAATGATCACAAGAAGATTAGTCACTTCAACGTGAGGGGAGTGCAGAGACCGGCAAAGGCTCGGTGTTCGCTCGGCCCACACCTTTAGTTGGGACACTTCTCCAATCTACAGTTCTACTTTTATCTCGTACTACTACTACTAGTCTAGTAGCGAGACTACGGAGTCTACGGAGTACTAGGCTACCATCCTATCGGGCCGCGACAACCGACTGTAAGGCTGCATCCGCTGATATCACTGTACATGTCATATCTCCAACTCAAGAGAGGTCCACTTGGTCATTTCTCAGGCAGTGTATACTGTCATACTGTGTGCGCGAGATTCTGCCAGGCTCCATCGTCCCATGCATCCATTATTTTGGCTGTCTCCTCCCCTCATGGCTACCCCTCATGCGAAATTGAAACTATACCAGAATTTTTTCGACCATTATTGGTGAAAGTCTTCGTCATCAGACTTCAACTGAGATGGTCTTGAGATCCAGGGCGGCACTTAAGACATGGAAACTATAAAGGACAGCCCTCCTCCCATGAAGATGGAGTATTCCCAATACACAAATTAGCACGCCGGACAAGAACCCTATTCGCCATGCCGAGCCCTATGTTTACGTTGGCAGAAGGTGCGGTACTTACATTCTCCCAGCCATATATATCCCACTAACTTTTTTTGCCAGGCCAGCCGATTGCAGATCCATCTGTCAGTACCACGCTGCCCACTTTCGGCAGCGGTGGCATCACGACCTTGGGCGACACGCTCCTCCTTGAGACGCTTGCGCATTTTAACCGTGAGCGTATCCCTGAACGGTCAGGAGCCATTTCAACCCGCGATGCCAACGTCGAGCTGACATTGACTAGGGTAGTTCATGCGAAGGCTGCCGGGGCTTGGGGTGACTTCGAGGTCACCAATGATATATCCTCCCTCACGTCGGCCAAATTCCTCAATGGCGTGGGCAAGAAAACGCCGGTACTCTTTCGTCTAAGCACGACTGGCGGCGAAAAGGGCAGCGCAGACACCGTGCGAGATGTGCGAGGCTTCTCCGTTAAGTTCTTCACGGAGCAGGGCAACCACGACATTGTCGGGAATCATATTGTCAGTCTCCATTCCTACACTTCTTCTGTCAGATTCTAATTCTTTTCCAGCCGGTGTTCTTTGTCCGTGACCCGGTTAGATTCCCTTCCCTCAACCGCAGTCACAAACGACATCCCGCAACTAACCGGCCGGATTGGACAATGGTGGGTGTACCTTGATATCTCGAGTTGCAGTTGCCAGGAAGCTAATCTCTTTCAGTTCTGGGACTTCCACGTCAACCAGCCGGAGAGTGTCCACGCGTTGATGCACCTATTTGGCTCGCGCGGTATCCCCGGGTCCATCCGTCGAGTGACGGGTTTCGGTGTGCATACCTTCAAGCTGGTGGCGGCTAATGGCAGTTTCCGCTACTGCAAGTTCCACTTCCGGCCGACGCAGAGCTTCACCCACTTCTCTGGAAAACAAGCCACCCTCATGGCGGGAGCAAATGCCGACTTCCACAACCAGGATCTGTGGGATGCCATCTCTCGGGGCCAATTCCCGGTATGGAAGCTTTACGTGCAGGTCATGGAGCCTGAGCAGGCGGAGACCTACGGCCGCGCTCTGTTTGATATCACCAAAGTCTGGCCTCACGCGGAGTTCCCCTTGATTGAAGTCGGCCAAATGACTCTCAATAAGAATGTATGTCTTGACCACCCTCATAGGAAGCATGCTAACAAAGGAAAACGCAGCCCGAGAACTACTTTGCTGAGATCGAACAAGCCGCCTTCTCGCCGTCCAACATGGTCCCCGGCATCGCAATGACGCCCGATCCTAGTGAGTCACACCCTGAGATCCCCTGGGGAGTTTTGACAGACCACTAACTACCTCTTGCTCGTATAGTGCTGCAGGCCCGCATGTTCGCCTATCCTGACGCGCAGCGATACCGCCTCGGGGTGAACTATACCCAGCTCCCTTCGAACCGGGCAATCTGTCCCATCTATGCGCCCTTTGAGCGTGATGGAATGGGCACTATAACCCAGAACTATGGCGGTGACCCAAACTACGTGCGCAGTACCTTGAGCCCCGGCGTGCCCAGCCAGGTAATTTCCAATGTGCGACACACCGAGCGTATCGCACACAATGCGACCCTCGGCCAGAATGAGATTCGGGTTGATGATGAGGACTACGTTCAGCCGCGTGAACTGTGGACCCGAGTCTTTGACGAGACTGAGAGGAGGGAGTGGGTGGCGAATGTATCGGAAACTTTGGAGAACGTGCCGGCGCCGCTGAAGGAAGCTGTCATCGAGATGTTCGGCAAAGTCGATCCCCAGATTGGTCAAATGATGAGTGCGAAGACTCAGAGCAGCTCGCGCCTTTAGTTGTTAGATGTCTGTTTGCCTACCTAGCCACTGCTGCTGCCGTAAACTATTCGAATTTCTAATTCCTACCCTACTTCATACAACCAATATACTGGACCATACCTACCTTCCAACAATTTGGTAGTACGTATGTCTATGTCCAAAAGACACAGGGGCTTTGGGAATTACTGGGATAAAATCAGTTTCATGATTCCCCCGAGCCACCCGACCATTGGGAATTTCAACAGTCGCGAAACGTCAACATTACCATCAACATCTGAACCCCTCCAGTTGCCCTTGTCTTCAACATACGAAGACAGCAGAAAGAACGATGATCTCACCCCTTTTTTTTGACCTGGCGTTATATCAGTCGTGCCTGCTCATCTTACCTGCTGGCTGCATTTCTGTCTACCGTTGTTGACCGTATTCTGCACCATTATTCCTACTATACTAGAAATGGTTGTCTAGACACCTTTTTGGCCGAGTGGTTTAACGGTTGAACAACCGTATACTCCCATCCTGGACTGCCTACCATGGAGCCCCCGGCACAATCTCCCTTGAAAAACCTTCAGTCTGCATCTTCGGAGCCCTCGACTGCTACGTTCAACTCTGGAGATGCGGCGGCGCAACTAGTGGAGGGACTGCAGCACCACCCATTTACCAGTAGTCAGAGTTTACACATGACCTTGGAGAAGCGTCGCCAGGCCCTTGAGCAAGACAAAACCCGCGATCAGTACCTCCTTTTCACGGCTGTCCCCCCGGCCGTGTTCTCCAGACTGAGCGATGATCGGTCGCGGACAAGCAAGCTCAGTCGATTCTCTTACAGCGAAACGGGAACCCTGGTAGCGAAAGTGATGCCCTCGCCCGAGCACCACCTGTCGGCAAGCTCATTCGAATTCCTAATCAATCTTGAGCTGCATTCTATGGGATTGAGACATGATGTGGACTCCCTTGGTTCAGCGACAGTGACAATTGGCACTTGGAAAAAAGAAGCGGATTGCTGCTGGGCTCCTGCACAACAGGATACTGAGCTAAGTTTCGTAGTCGAAGTGGGCCTCTCTGAGTCTGCTCGGCACCTGGCTCTTGATGCTCGATGGTGGTTGGAGGCCCGTTCCTCATCAGTCAAACTCGTTGTCACCATTGGTATCAACCGGATGAATCCCGAGGTCATCATGCAGCGTTGGGAGATACTCCCCGGGGAATACCATCCACTCGCAGGGTCTTCCCCTGGGTCAGCTCGCCCTTCTGCAACCATCACGATCTACCGGACGAATAACACAACGTTTATCAGCGGCGGACAGCTGGAACTGCCTTTCGAGAAGGTTGCGGGCCGTCAAGCAAACCGACCTACAGAAAGAAACCTAATAGTTCCAGAGCAAAGGCTTCGAAATTTTGCGGAGAAAATCTGGAGGAAGCAAGGCTTCCTATAGTATGCATACGTACCTATTCCACTCGGAGAAACAAGCAAGGGCAAGCTTGGCAGTCGATTGGCTCGTGGATTTACCATCAGTAAGGCCTTGTTTACTCGTATGCTCCCTTGACAGGTTGATGATCCATTATGGTAAAGAGGGGTATGTTAATGTACTCTGCTTTGAGCTTTGATTCATGCCAAGAAAGGTGTTTTTGAGGACACAATCGGCTGGCACATCCTTTTTTGTGCACCGTTGATGTTACGAGAACATCACTTCCAAGGTAGAGAATGTTGTGATACTATACCACTAGACTAAGGAGTACTTCGTCTGGACACCTTTTTAGTCTAGCGGTATTAGTATGTTGACAGAGAAGATATCAGCCTTCATACAACCAACATACTGGACCATACCTTCGTAGCTGCCAACAAACAGCAATTCACACAAGTCTCTTTAACAGTTACATCGGACTACAGTCTCTGCCGATTTCAAGTACGAAGAATAGCTCGAAGGATTAAGTTATCAACATCATTGTCATTAAAATCATATACTGAAGCAGACGACTGCTCTGTACATCACATGAACCAAAAGTCCTGTACAATTTCATCATACCACCGTTCTACTGGACAGTGGGCAGAGACGCTCTCAGAGGCAGCTTACGCGATGAGCTGCCGACGTACACTCTCTTGGGGTACTTGGTGATGACCCAGTCCTGAGCCTCCACATCCCAGTTGGCGAGATCACGACGGTTAAGAGTCGTGGTCCAGACCTTCTGCTCTCCAGGAGTCAGGTAGATTCGGTCGAACTTGCGCAGAACGACCCGAGGCTCATTAGGTCCACCCAGGGAAACATACTACAAGAAAGTAAGCCAAAATGCACCTGGGCCGAAGCAAGGAATCTTCGAGTCACTTACCAATTGAGGAACCTCATAACCGGCGACGTTGCCAGTGTTGGTGATGGTGGCTGACACCTCAACAAGATCGTCATAAAGGGTAGGGTTGCCACCTGGAGCACCACCAGCCTTCAGGAGAGGTTGAGGAGAACCGTCCGTAGCGCCTTCGGGAATGTACTCCGAGTCCTCCCAGCCGTAGTTCGGGTCGCCAGAAGAAGCCTTGAGGTCGGTCGAGTTCAGCCAAGGGTAGATAAACTTGGTGATTCTCTTGAGGCCCTCTGGATACAGGTAGTCGGCAGCACGGCCGATCTCGCCGTAAGTTGGCGCAGGCTTGGTCGTTCCGCTAGTCGGGACGTATGTCGAACAATTGAGGGCCTGAACCTGGAGGTGAGAATAACCAAAGGTGGTGTAGCTCAAGCCATGGCCAAACTCATAGATGGGGGTCTCGTTGCGCTTGTCGAAGTAACGGTAGTCGATGAAGACGCCCTCGTCGAAATCATCCTGGGGAGCGCCGTTGCCATTGTTAGGCTCGGTGAGCAAGGGAGCACCGTAAGACCCGCGAGTCTTGCCCCAGGTGAATGGGGTCTTGGCGCTGGGGTTGACATAGCCATAGAGCACGTCGATGAGGGAGTTGCCGCTCTCCTGACCGGGCAAGCCGGCCCAGATGATGGCAGTGACGTTGGGGTTGTCGTACCACTGGTCGATCAAGACGGGTCCGACACTGTGAATAACGACAATGGTGTTGTTGCAGTGGCTGACAACGGTGTCGATGACGGCTTCGCCGTTCTTCCAAAGGGTGAGATTCTTACGGTCACCTTCGTTGCCGTCGACGCTGATGTATCCCTCGCCGGAGTCGGCGTTGACAAACACAAGAGAGACGCTGTTTGATGCCAACGGTCAATGTTTCGTCCAGAGCAGGTGTTTTCAAGGGTGGCCACTCACCTGGATTGAGATGCAACATCGGCCATCTGGTTCAGAGCTCCGTTGTCAGTCACAGCGAAGACATTGCCGCCGTTCTTGATAACCTCGCGCTGAATAGCCTGCTCGGGGGTAACAAGGTAAGGGAAATTAGCAGTACCACTACCCCAGGCCATGGCAAGAGTACCGTTATCACAGCCGCGGTCGCTGCAGCCGTTCGGGCCCCACGGGTTGGAACCAGCATCTTCGCCGAGAACACCCACTTTAACCTCCTTGCCGGTCAAAGGAAGAGCACCGTTGTTCTTCAGGAGCACTGTACTTGCCGCGCCAACCTCACGGATGATCCGAGAGTGATCGCGCTGCACTTTGACGAACTCGTTGACCTTGGTCCACGCTCCCTCGGAGACAGCATAATGCTCCCAGCCGTACTCGTCCCGGGTCCAGGAGCTGAAGTTGGGCGGGACACGAAGACGGTCACGGCCAACCTTGTAGTAAGCGGTCATGATACGGACAGCCATGTCATCAACACGCCAAGCCGGAACGGTGCCGTTGAGAACACTGACAGTCAGGTTGGTGCCCCAGAAGGAGAGGCCGTCGTCGAAGGCAATGTCTCCGGGCATAGACATATCCAACCCAGCAAGGGCAGCGCCGACACCGCTGTGATGAGCGCTCCAGTCACTCATGACGAACCCCTGGAAGCCCAGCTCGGACTTGAGGAGCTTGTTCAGAGTCTGACTGTTTTGGCAACCGTAGCTGTTGTTGATCTGATTGTAGGAACACATGATAGCGCCAACGCCAGCTACAGATGGTTCGTCAGTGATTTCTTCATCGCAAGTCGAGTCTGCTGAAAATCTTACCGCGCACGGCATCTGCAAAGGGCCTGCATCTTGGTCAGTCAGTAGACCTCGTTGGAGGCGTCAACTACTCACCAAAGGTACAACTCGTGCATGGTCTTGTCGTCCACGTTGGAGCTGATGGTCTCCGTGATGTTGTATCCATATCCCTGGGCCTCGCTAACCTGTCGGAAATGCTCCTGTTCGTTCAGGATGTAATGCTTGGCAGTAGCAATCACCCCCGCATCTTGGATACCCTTGATAGTCTCTGCGAAAAGCACACCAGTGAGAGCCGGATCAGGAGAGAAGCCTTCCCAGATTCGGCCACCGTCGGGGTATTTGCCGAGGGGACCAGCGGCAGGCCCCAGCTGAATGTCAGCGCCCTTGTCGTTGAATTCCTCGCCCATGGCCTTTCCACGAAGGTAGGCGAGTGTCTTGTCCCATGTCGCGGCGACATTAGTACCAGCAGGGAAGGCGGAGTTGAGATCAGCTATACAGAGACACTCATCAGCACGTAAAACAACAAGTACTGAAAGACTCCGCAGGTATAGCTTACAGAAACGAAGACCCAGAGGAGAATCCTGGCCACAGAGACCCCAATTGATACCAAGTCTGCATCATCGCGTTTTAGTGACTAAAGTTGCCCGTTGCTGTAGAATTGAAGACGTACCTGGGAACGCTGCCCGTTTGACCGACACATCTGTCCATTTCCCATCTAGAGGTTGTCAGTGAAGAAAGTTCACTGTCGAAGAGAAAGTCTCAACCCACCCAGTACCCGTTGTAAGGTTAACCTTCTCTGCCAATGTCATCTGAGAAACGATCTCGACGGCGCGTCGATGGGCATCCGCCCATTCTCCCTGGCCATCAGCCCAAGGCGAAGGGTAGAATGGTGGAGAGAAAGCCAATTCCTATTTTCCAGGAGTATCGTCAGCTATGATCGAAACAACGACAGAAAAGCAGTACAAACCTGGGCATTGGCTACAGAGGCAGCCGTCAGGGCGGCGACCTCGAGCCAACCGAACCTCATTGCTGTGCCGGGGGTATGTAGCCAGAAAAGAATCGATCGACAACACAGCTCTAGTTGAGCGAGAGGAATAAGAAAGAAGGGGAAGGAATGGGGAAGAACAGGATATTAATAAATAATAACCACGGCCAAAAAGTCAGAGGCAGGGACTATGACTATGAATGTTACTATTATGCGGGTGCACGATGATGTATGAATGTCTCAGCAGAGCTACTACCAGGGACAGCAAAGCCCACATGTAATAAGAGAAAGGCAGGTACAACTTGGGTCTCGGGAATGGATGGCATGGTGATCGACATCCCTCTTCCCGATTGAGAGAATGTGGAACTTGTGCTAGGAAGAAGCAATCACGGCCCTCAACTTGCTATGAGGGAGAGTCAGGTAAGTGAGTGAGTGAGTGAGTGGTACAGCAAACAGCACGGGAGGAATGTGACCCGGTACCTACCAAGGGAGTACAGTAAAGGTAGGTCAGACTGGTCTTGACCAAGAAGTACAATACTGGTCTGTATCTGGAGTGTAACCAGCTGTTGTTGGACCAGTCATTTTAGTAAATCACTTGAGACTAATAGAAGAGCTGGGATGATGACGATGTTATGTTTGTTGTTTTATGGAGCCGAAAACTGGAGAGACGGGGTAGGACTAGAGCTCAGTATGGATGGTACCTGTACCTGTAGTACCTGGGCCATACCATGGATAGCCGTGTCTTCGCCCAAGTACCTTAGAATCATTTGCATTTCAGATCCAGATATGCTCTTTATATATCACTTTACACACTAATTTCACAGACTTTGGTTATATTGCCATGTCAAGCAATATTCAGTGTAGGTATTGCATAACTTCGTACGGTCATTACAGGAGAGAAATCAAATTACACAATTGTACCTTAGGACTTAGGTATCTTCCGGGGAATGCCCGTGGCCTGAGGCTCCCAAGTCTCAGATCCCAATCCCGCCGAGTCTAGATACCCATGGGTCATTCCCGTCAAGCCACCATGACTCGGCTTCTCGGTTTTCATTCAAACTAAATCCTCTAAAGCATCAATGACAAAACCAAGTGCGCAGATGCAGCAGGGATGATACGTACGCTGTCATCTCAATGTAACTGTCTCATCCAGACCCCGCATTTTCAGGCCATCTGTGTCCGCACATGAATCCATGTAATCAGATCAAACAAAACACGCATGCAAGTGATGTTCTCGTAACATCAACGGACAAAAAAAGGATGTCTCAGCAGATTGTGTCCTCAGAAAGGAGCTCCTTTCTAGGCATGAATCAAAGGTTCAAAGCAGAGTACCCCTCTTTACCACAATGCATAATCGGGCGGCCCGTCAAGGGAGCATACCAGTAAACGATGCCTTACTGATATTGAATCCACCAGCCAATAGACTGCCAAACCCTTGTTTGTTCTTCCGAGCGATGCATACATATCCAATCCCTTCTGGATAGCGAGACTGAGCAGATGGATTGCGGATTTGTAATTGGATCATGCACAGTATGAACTGGAACCTTTGTTTCAATTTTTATTATGATGGACTTACAGTAGTCGAAGACACAAAAATCCAGCTTGAGGATCCGACGATCATCCATTGAATATCCATTTCAGGCGGTACTAACCACCGACTAGTCAATAGTGTCCATTGAATTTATCCGGTATTCATTATCAAGAAAGGCGACTAGATTCATTGATTCCCAATCATCATATCCGTCTGTGAGAGAGCAAATACGTCATGTTGGGCTCTGGACTGTCATTGAAGACAGCCTATATTTCGAGCTGGTCTGCTAATAAACACTACCTCGCCAATTACTCCGATTCCCCGAAACTTGAAATTTCTTGCCGGTCCGTCTACCGAGCATAATCCATCAGTCGTCCAGAATTATTCTCCGCGGTTTCTCCGTCATTTGCGGGGTTCCCGCGGGGAGAAAGAGCCGGCATATGCAGCTGCAGGTGGCATGGCTATGGAGTATGGAGTATGTAAGGTAGTATCTACTATCTACTATCGACCTCTCTAGTACTACGAGCAAAGTCATGATCAAGACTGCAAATCTTGGGACTCTGGGAACTGTACTCCTTACAGTACAAGACATTCGGCCTGACCTCAAAGCCCAGGATTACCCGAATCCTCTGGCTTACGGACTCCAGGAGATAATCTTGAACCTGATGAAATCCGAGTTATCAACTCGGAACCTTATTCACTCGGTAACGGCTACTATGGTCCTGACTCCCAGGTCCCAATATCATCCCGAATCTCAACCATCGAGTAAACTCCCACGTCGATGCTAGTAGCTAAGATGCATTGCGCTTCTAGCGTCACACACGTTCAGTCATCAACACCGCTAATCATCCCGTATCAATTCCAAGTACTCTGTAGTTCGTAATCCTCACCAGTAAGTGTCCGTAAAAACGTAAACAGTTCTGCATCGGTCAAAAGCCGACGTCCCAGTGTGGCCCATGGGGTTCATTGTGGACTGTGGAGTCCCGCCTGGAGAAGGGAAAGGAATTCTCAAAAGTCAATTCACAGGCTTCACAACAGGAACGAGCAGGAACGAGCCGATGATTAGCCGCAGAGTGGGAAGTCCCTTACGCAGTGCTTTCAAGCCATTTCTGTCGACTCGCGTGGAAGATACCTCATCCAGATAATAAGAAGGACGTATGATCGTGATTGTTTCTCGTCCGAGACCGGGACATCCATAGGTCTTCCAGCACTCCGTATCCGCCATTCCACAAGCATCGAATTAAATGGAGAAGTAGAACCAGTCGTCAGAATCCCGTATTAGCAGTGAGAGTCAAGACATCTCGGTTCTGGTAGATGTTCGCTACGTCCTATCCACGGCACACATGAACTGCTGGTTTTGATTTTTATCTTTCGCTACATTCTCCTCGTCTGTCTTCTAAGTCAGTCTGACCTTCCGACTGTCTCTACAAACTACCATGGTGACTATGAGCTGTGTGCTTGACCCTGAACGCCTCTTCATCGATCATCTACACTCTCACTCTCATCAATAATGAAGTACCAAGAGCACTACAGGCTCTATCCACCATGTAACTCTCCTACATTCGCAGCGCTCTGATGCTATCCATGGGACCATATCAAGAGAGGTAATCTTGCTTCCTAACGCTCATCATCGCTCGAAGCTCAGACTCGGAGGCATCAAACATAAATTAGAGTCGACGCGCTCCCGTCATCCTTGCAGATTTCTCAATTCCATTTAGCTACTCCGAAACAGCACAACATGGCCTTGTGCTAGGAAAGTTCTTGCTTCAACAACTTTTGGAGAGAAGGCTCACTCCCATGGCACAAAACTATCTTCACATCAAAAGGCTAGGCTCTCGTCAAGCTGTTGATTTCACATGCAGGAGAGATATCTCGCAACTGTGGCGATTAATCACGTGATACTAACATGTCACTCCGGGGTCGTGATTGGCTGCAAAACTTTATCAATCTCAACTAAGCTTTATCGGCTTGGGATTTCTATAGTCAAAGTAGTAGGGTAGGTGTAGCTGTCGATAAGAATTCAATACATACATTTTGTGACCACATCCAGGGAGAGTTTGGATTTCTCTATTATATATATCCACTACGCATATCTGCAGGACTTGCGATTCTGTAGGGCAGTTTCGTTATGACTCGGGAAAAAGACAGCACATCGCCTTCTCAGCATCCAAGCGATATCGAAGCTTGCAGTACGCCAGATGCCTCGAAATCTGACGACGATGCAGCCACGGCAGGTCCAACTTCTGCTTTCAAGCAGCTCGCCATTCTAGATCGATTCCTTGCAGTCTGGATCTTCCTGGCTATGGCTATTGGGATCATCCTTGGTAACTTTGTTCCCAACACGAGCAAAGCTCTGGACAAAGGGAAATTCGTTGGTGTGTCGGTGCCTATAGGTATGCCTCTGGTTTCGAAACTCACAGTCGGCCGCACGACGGCTCACACACTATATAGCAATCGGCCTGCTCGTCATGATGTACCCCATTCTGTGTAAAGTGCGATTCGAGACTCTCCACCGGTCATTCCGCGAGAAAGCGCTCTGGATTCAAGTTGCATTCAGTATTGTTGTGAACTGGATTATAGCACCTCTATTCATGGTATGTCGGAGACATCGCTGATATCACGAAGTTGGTGCTAACCATTTGAAGCTTGCTTTAGCATGGGCGTTTCTCCCCGACGAAAGAGGGCTTCGAGAAGGTTTAATCTTAGTCGGCATCGCACGGTGTATTGCAATGGTTCGTTCCGTGCCCATACGATACAACACTCTGGACATGCAGGCTAACAGCTTTCAGGTCCTTGTCTGGACTGGTCTTGCAGGAGGAGACGGTGAATACTGTGCGATTCTGGTCGCAATTAACTCGGTCCTGCAAATGGTTCTATTTGCGCCCCTCGCCATTTTTTTCATTCGCGTCATCGGAGGTGAAGACAACGGTCTGACCATTGACTATTCATTGGCCGCAAAGAGTGTTGGTGTGTTCCTCGGTATACCGCTAGGAGCAGCCATTGTCACCCGCTTCGCTTTAAGATTCCTCATCAGCAAGGAATGGTACGACAGAACCTTCTTGAAGCTGATCAGTCCGCTATCTTTGATCGGTCTTCTGTTCACGATTCTGGTTCTCTTCGCTTCCCAAGGCAGGCATGTTGTCCATCAGATTGTATCAGTCATTCGAGTCGCCGCTCCGCTCATCGTTTACTTCGCCGTCATTTTCCTCGTCACCCTCCTAGTGACACGTCGACTGGGCTTCGGCTACAAGCTGTCATGCACACAAAGCTTCACGGCGGCGAGCAATAACTTTGAGCTTGCAATCGCAGTAGCAATTGCAACATTTGGTGTTGACAGCGACCAAGCGCTAGCCGCCACAGTCGGTCCTCTCGTCGAAGTTCCCGTGCTATTGGCGTTGGTATATGTCGTCAAGTGGTTTGCCAGGCGACAGCAATGGAAGTGATGAGCAATGTTGACACGGTCGACATGCACTTGTACATAATGCATGATAATTTAGCCTCCAAAAGGGATAATAATAGTAAGCAAGCCCATCAGTGGTTGCTAATTTCGTCCAGAACCTGAAACAAAATCTGATTCTGTACTCTACACCCTTCTTCTGATGTGAGGCCTTTGGAGAAGCCAGCCCATAGCTTCTTCCGAATTTCCATGATGTCCATGCCGCGAGTATTGTATTGATGAATCAGTTCATCCGCTATTGCGCAGAGAGTAGTATTGAGGACGTCTCCATTATTAGGAAAACACTCTGCGTCGTTGTCTCCAGATGAGCAGTCGCAGAGTGGAATCGGTCGAGGGCGTTCTGATGACTCTCCAGACTCTTGAGATATAGTCTTTTCTAGGGCCTCGGGCGTGTTTGGCGGTTCGTCTTTAGCGACAAGTTGATTTTGCGTTTCGGCAGGACTGGTGTCCCTTTCAGACCTATCCCGCGATGGTGAGCAAGGGAGAAAAGGCTTTGTCTCCTGGCAACGAGCTCCAGGCTGGATTTCTGGCCGTTGAAGAGCCGGTAACACAACTTTCTGGGTCATTACAGGATCGTAGCTAGACCGCAGGTTCTCCTCAACAATCTGAGGGGGTATGCTTGAGCATGGGCGCGAGCATTTTTGCTCCCGGCACTGAGTTTCGGGCTGGACCTCAGGTAGTCGAGACGCCGGTATTGCAACTTTCTGGGTTTCGAGACGACCATTGCCGTTTTGCAATTCACCGACAGTGTTGGATGATATGCCTCCGCATGGACGCGAACACTTCGTCTCCTGATGCAAGGGTTCCGATTGGAACTCCGACCGTCGAAGAGCCGGTATCGCAACCTTTTGGGTCACGGTAAAATCATCACCCGTTCGCAGATATTCGTCGACAGTATGAGGTGGCATCCCTGAGCAAGATAGCAGGTACCTCAACTTTTTATTCTCCATTTCGAGTCTTTGTACGGCCAATCTATGCTCGACATCTTTCTTGTGTGCTTGTTCTTGAAGACAGGCCAGCTTCTGCTCCAAGTCGCGAATATGCTCCTGCTTCCTTGCTCGGCTCCTTCGTTGGTTCTCTCGGATGCGAGCGAGCTTGTCGACCTTCTGACCTGTCATTAGTCCAACAGAATGCGATTGAGTGCAAGTCGCTTTCTCCAGGGCTCCAACCTTTGGGTCGCTTTCGAGATTCATCCTGCCTCAATCAGCAGTGGTAGTTCAAAGTACACGCCAAAATCCTGTGATTGCTAAAGAAAGATGAGTTGCATATAGTTCAAAGTCTGTAGAACATGGTCAACAGCGAAAATTGATGCAATCCAAGACTCAGACCGGATGCCTAGTCTCCTGTGCAGTGTGACGGAAATGAGATTGATTAATCAGGAGAATCGGATCTGGATCTGGTCGATCAATCAGTGGGCGGGACTGGCGCACGTGATTGCAGCTCTCCACTATGATCACCATTTAGATCCAGATCTGTGTTTCTCGCCAGGACCTCCCCCAGTGCCTGAAACATCGACCAACATATAAATCTGCCCTTGCTTGACCTGACAATGAACTTCGAGTCTGATTTTCTATAATGGTTTTCAGCCCTCTATTCGAAGAGGACGCGGTCGTAACCCGACAAGCAATCCGGCTGACTAAATGCGACTACTTAAACTGACTCTCCACATTACCCTGAGTTTTCAATCTGCTGAAATACCATAGGAAGCTTGGATCATTAGGCCTGATGGCTTGTCGAAAGCGCAGAGATATCATGGTATCATAATGTGTAATGTTTCATGGCAACCTGCAATTCAGTGGAAACTTCCTACGCACCCAGACACAGTCGTCTTCACGACGTCACTACCCGTCAGTCGGCCCATCACCATGCCACAAAACTCAGCATTCCTCGCATCGCGACATCCTTCTTGACTTTATTGCTTGTCGCTTCTCATTGAATCCTTGAACACAGCTTTGAACACTAATCGCGCAAACAAAGCAACCCCTGCATACGCTACCATACAACGTCCTAGACAACTGCGACAGATATGGTTTCCACAAGACATCATCCCCGCGATTTCCCATCGCCATCGCGTGCCAGGTCAAAGTCCCCAGAACCCTCAGCCAACGGATTTGTCCCCAGACGATGGGTGCACACCCCATCAAGGGCTGTGACACTGTGGCTTCTTGTTTCGATTCCCTTGGTCCTATGGGATTCGTGTTACGTGTTGTTGCGGCCGCATTCCATGCCAGGTCACAAGCTGCATTCGCCTGTTTGGACTCCGTACGCACTCTACGGGACCATTGACTACATCTATGGCTGGCCGGCGTTCAACGCTAGGAATGGCTTCACCGTCGCGCAGACCGCATTGAACCTTGTCGAATCAGCGGCTTATCTGTACTACCTCTTCATCATCTATAAATATGGAACGTCATTGACTTCCAGTGGCCGTGGGAGACAGCGCAAAACTCGCAAAGGTCTCTTGTGGATGTTGAAGGGCGACAAAGTCGTGTCTGGGCGCACTGGAGCGACGGCGCTCCTGGTAGTCTACAGCGCCTCCGTCATGACTTTGAGTAAAACTACCCTTTACTGTGAGTTAGAAGGTATCCGTCAGTCTGTAACCGGCTAATGATATTTGAGGGCTTAACGAGATTTTCTCCGGGTTTGCAAATATTGGACACAATGATGCTTTCACATTGATTACTATGTGGGTCATTCCTAAGTAAGGCTTGTCTCTAAACCTCCTCCTTGCGCCGTTTCTAATAGCAGACAGTGGGCTCTGGATTGCTTTTCCAAGCTACAATATATATACCCTGGGGAAGGAGATCTTGGCCGCTCTTGAGACTGCCACACCCGCCTCGCGAACCAAGTCGTGAGATTTCACATTTTGTGGGCTTGCGTCCGATGCACAACCGTAACACCCGTCGGCTTCAGTTCGAGACTTTGAGGGCACGTACAAAGGGTGTCGAACGGTGGCACTGTAGCATTCAGAGATCATCCCGGCTCTATTCAGACTATATATTAGGACTTAGGGACTCTGCCTGTTGTGATTTTGTCATATCGGGGGTCGCATGTGATATAATCTGAGAAGAATGCCCATTAGACTCTATCCATCATGCGAATCGGGGTAGACGAAGTCCATGTCTACCTAGTAGAGGCTGTAAAGCCCATTTTAGGTTCATCCAATTAACGGGCTGCCAATTATTGCACTTTGGATTGCCCCAGAGTAAGTCTCGAGCCGCCGAGCTGCGAACGTATAGGTCTCCAGCATCACTTCCTGGGATAATGAATACTTTCCTCTGCTTTTGCTCATCTCATTCATCAATATTATTCGTCTCATACCCAGTATCAAGAGCTGTTTCTGCTTTCGAAGGTATCTGATTAATAATCGGAAGTATGACTGCGGCCAGTGATGCCAAGCCGCCACTGGTTGACCCTTCCCCATACCCACCGGCATCTACCGTCTTATCCCGCAATCTCATCCGAGCAATCTCTCCAGAAAGCTACCAATATTCTTGGGCTGACCTCACTGCTCCCGCTGCTGCCTACACAAACAATGTCCCGCGCTTTGCTGCTGGGGCTACCTCACCCGTCATGATCCCACCCGAGTCCACGGAGTCTTCCATGGTCTCTTCTGCCGGTCCGACTTTGACCCACGATGACAGCGCGATTCCGGAAGATTTCGACATCCAGAGTCGGGCCAGCTCGCGAGATCCAGGGAGCGTCCAGACGACAGGAGACCTAGCTGCTGCACAGGATGGAGCCCACGATAGCCAGCGCGACGATCCGAAAGATGACCCCGCCCATAATTCCAACGACAACGGCCCCAACGGAAAACCTCCATGGAGGGAAATGAAAACCAAGGCTGGAAAGGAGCGGAAGCGTCTACCCTTGGCATGCATCGCGTGTCGGAGGAAGAAGATCCGGTGCTCGGGGGAGAAGCCCGCATGCAAGCATTGCTCGCGCTCTCGCATTCCATGTGTCTACAAGGTTACCACGAGGAAGGCGGCTCCTCGAACGGATTACATGGCGATGCTGGATAAGCGACTGAAGCGTATGGAGGATAGAGTCATCAAGACTATTCCGAAAGACGAGACGCGGGATATGGCCGCAATCGGTAGGTCTGTCGTCCGACCGCCTCAACCGGGTCAGGCATCCAAGACACAAAAGAAGCGATCGGCGGACGAGGCTTTTGCGGCGGAGATGGAAGAATGGGCCCACGAGGATCGGAGGTCACCACAAGATACATTCCCCATGCGTCGCGAGGGCAAGAGCAACGATGCAACGGGTCTTTTGACTGAAGGTGCCGAGTTTCTACCGTCGCTGGAGATTCAGGAACATCTGGCGGAGGTCTTCTTCGATTGTGTATACGGGCAGTCATACCTCCTGCTTCACAAGCCAAGCTTCATGCGGCGGCTGAAAGCGAGGACAGTTCCGCCCGTATTGATCCTGGCCGTTTGTGCCGTTTCGGCTCGATTTTCGACACACCCACAGCTCAGCTCAGATCCGCCTTTCCTCCGCGGAGAGAACTGGGCAAATCCCGCCGCTGCCATCGCGTTGAGCCGACATGATGAACCGAGTATAACCATCTTGATTGTTTTTCTACTATTGGGCCTTCACGAGTTCGGAACCTGCCATGGTGGGCGGAGCTGGTCTTTTGGTGGTCAGGCACTCCGCATGGCCTACGCTTTACAGCTTCACAGGGAGCTAGACTATGATCCTCTACTGAATCAGGGCGCAGGTAATGGTGCACAGCTGAGCTTCACGGATCGGGAAATCAGAAGACGTACCATGTGGGCTTGTTTCTTGATGGATCGCTACAACTCGTCTGGAAGTCAGCGTCCACCTATAGGAAACGAGAAATTCCTGCAGATCCAGCTTCCTATCAAGGAGTCTTCATTTCAATTGGAGATACCGGGGCCAACGGAGGACCTGGAAGGGAACATTCCGAACCCCGTTCCGGATGATGTCGGTCAATTGTCTAATGCCAAGGATAACATGGGCGTGTCAGCCTATATCATTCGAGCTGTCGTAATATGGGGTCGCATAGTCGATTATCTTAATCTTGGTGGGAAGAGAAAGGATGAGCATCCTCTATGGTCACCCGAGTCGGGTTATACGAAGTTGAAACGACAAATCGAAGACTTCTCTGCCACCCTGCCGAGTCATTTAGCCTTCACATTTGAGAATCTACAGATTCACGCTGCAGACAAGATCGCCAACCAGTTCCTCTTCCTCCATATCATCATTCACCAGAACATGTTGTTCTTGAATCAGTTCGCCATTCCGCTTTCACCTGGAGGGCGGCCTCCCAAGGATATGCCCAAATCGTTCCTCAGTAACGCCGGGCGGGCCGCTGTCGAGGCAGCACATCACATTTCTGTGTTAATAGACCGCGCATCGGCCTATCCTCTTACGGTGCCGTTTGCGGGATACTGTGCTTACTCGGCGAGTACGGTACACATCTGGGGCATTTTCTCGAAGAACGCACAACTGGAAGCTCGGTCGAAAGAAAACTTACGGCACACCTATCGGTACCTCAACAAGATGAAGAAGTATTGGGGGATGTTTCACTACATGGTTGAGAGTGCCAAAGATCGTTATCGGCAGTTCGCAGATGCGGCAATCAAGGGGACTGTCGTCACTCAGAACGGCAATCAGATCACCCCCATGTTCCAGTACGGCGACTGGTTCGATAAATATCCTCACGGCGTTTCAAGACTTCACTGGGAGGATCCTGACGCCAGGCAAAAAGACCGTGCCGATGACGGGGTGATGGGCCAAAAGCCCGACCTCCAAAGCGTGGAAGATTTCTTCGCAAGCCTATCTCCATCCGCACCACAGCACAGCACCCCGCGTAGGCCACATGCAAGAAGAGACAGCAAGAGTATTGCTCCTCCAGACCAGCCAACCCCTCCGCAACCGGTGGTCGACGTGAACATGAACACTGCTCCCGGGATGTTAGGAACATCTGGCACGGGATTCCCGCATCCGACGATGTACAATCAACAGGGCCGAACAATATCCTTGAGGCAAACGGGCTTCGACTTCAGCATTCCGGAAGATCAACTCCCGCAGTTGGATCGGCAGTTTGTTTATGGATCCTTTGGTGGATTTAACCCTTCCCCTGCCGCTTTTGCGACTGCCGATACCCCGGGAATCACTACTCCTGGTGGGGCAGAACCCCATACAAACCAGGACACATCTAGTGCGCTCTTCACCGGTCAAATGGACCCCAACGCCCCGTCCGGCACCGGAGAGTTCTATCAACCCAGTGCCTGGTTTTTACCTTTCAATCTCGACCCTGTCGGTGCAGGTGTTGGCCTTGATCCAAACCCTCCGGGCCCCGGTCCCAGTAGCGGAAATGCCACTGCAGACTTGTCCGCGTTTGGCGGTACTGGCATACCACTGGGAGGGTATGATCTGGGAATGACGGGAATGAACCAGCAGTGATGGGTATTCCTACCACTTTTCTTATTTCTCTTTGCGAGCGGTTCAGGTTGGGCGGATTCGGTGTCTGGGGAAAAAATGGGAGTTCACGACTTGTATATTCTCTATACGCTGAACTGTTTATGTAACTTAGTTGTATATCCCTGCTATATCGATCTACTGCTTTTTTTTTGTCTACCAAATTTCCCGCTCGAGATATTCTACTGCCTTTTTTTGTTGGATATCGATGGCGATTGTTTTCTGGTCAAACATGACTGCACGGCAAAAATTATAATGAGAAATTGATGAGGTGGCTCTGTCTTTGGGGACAAGAATACTATGGTCTGAATTGTTGCGATTGTACACAGTTACGTAGAAATGCAAAAAAAAATGAGTATATGCATCATCCGTGAATCGAACACGGGCCTCGTCGATGGCAACGACGAATTCTACCACTAGACCAATGATGCTAGTCATTGGTTATATATTCTAAATAACATAAGTACCTCTCTGGCCCATTCTTTGAGCTACAATATACCACTATTAAAATTCGGGGTTCAAGTGACGAGTCAAATTTTCTTTGAGAGGCCGTCCCGTGCTGTCATGCAATGATGTAACAGGGAGCACCATCGAATTTCATACGCGCCGATGAAATGGTGCTTCTATACCGAACTGAATCGAGATAAATACATATATCGAGATAAACCAGTCGGCAGCACCAACTAGACTCGTCATAGCACGAACCGGATATTCCAATGCATCGGGTCTTGAACAAGATATAGCAACAAACAACATCATAACCAAAGATTCCAGGACATGCTCATATCGTACCACAAAGACGGCTACCAAGAAAGATATCGAATAACATCATAAACCCTGAGGAAACAGAAGCAAAAACATCTCATTCATCAATCATCCCAGGTCTCGTCCAATTGGTCTATGAGACGATTCTCCGCGTCGACGTCGGAGGCATGGCTGTCTCGTCCTCGACGGCCGCCGATCGCCCCGATGAAGCCGCCGCTTGAACCATTTGTGCGGCTGTGTCCGAGGGTTGGGGATCGTCTGATACGGAATAGACGGCCGAGGGAGGAGAAGAGGATGATGAACATGTCCTATATGGGAGAGTGAGGCGATGCGTCAGCTTATTTTCAAGCAGGATAGCGTTTGCAAAAGAAGGTGATCAGTAATGACATGAAGTGATGCCACATGAATAGAGAGGACTATATAAACTATGGAATTGAACAAATCCAAGACTCATGCTCGATCTAGTTGAGTAGAGAACTACTGAAAGAAGGTATGGCAAATGGGAAAGAGCGCATCGCCTTCTCACTGCACCTGAGCTTCAGACCAGCCAAAGCAGAGGTCAATCCGTTCGGGAAATGGGCAACCTCGGACTACCAAACTCCTTATAGGAACCCAGGACGCCGCGTCTAGATCGAATGCGGGA